ATCCATTGACGATAGCAACATGTCTATCAAAATCAACAGCAGTATTTACAAATTTCGCTGTTGTTGTGAGTGTTTACTATGCTATTAAAGGTTGGTGGGTTGTTGTGCTATCTATTTGCTTGTGGTTTTTGACCATGTCATCATCGTTGACTTTTATAGACTATGTGATCTTATTGTAGGAAATAGATCATACGCAATGCTTGGAATTGCTATGGCTACTTATTTAAGTCTTTATCCCGTAACCGTGGTTGCACCGATAATACTACTTCTTCATCAGAAAATACCTGGAAAGGTTGGTGAACTATAAGCATCGTTTCAAGTTCGACAAGTGTTGGCATATACGTTAATTCACTTTTGCTTCTTTTAGAGCATTGTTGTCCATTGCATAATATTATTTATCGGATGGTTGAGCGGTCTTGTCGGTTTATCTTATTTATTAGTCGGATCGTGGGATTTCTTGTCGGCTACATACGGTTTCATGCAAGTCAAATCAAGATTCGTATACGTCAAGTTTTGCTATTCGATTTAATAACAAATATTGATATAATGCGTCCATTTACAGTCTGTTGCTTCCTGACCTCAGTCCAAACATTGGATTATTCTGGTACTTTTTTATTGAAATGTTTGATCAGTTTCGTAATTTCTTCCTGGTCGTATTTCAGTTACACACGCTTATATTTGCCGCGCCACTAACGATAAAGTTCAGGTGGGTAACAGTTGGAGCTTTACAAACTTGAGACTATGTTCCGACCCGTAACGAAATTTAGCCCGGCTCAGTTCGAAATAAGCTCATTTTATTTCGCTATTATCACATAAATAATGTCGCTTATTGGTTGTGATATTAGGTAATGTGCTTATTGCGAAACGGACTGTATTGCGTTACGGGCCAGAACAAATACAAAAGATAATGGTTTACTTATTGTGACATCTGTCCATGCGTATTATATAGAGATCATCCTTTGTTTGCAATATTCGTACTTAGTGGAATAACGGCCGTGTTCAAATCATACCCGTCGATTGGAGACGCGTCATTATATATTGCATTCCTGCCAATCTATTCAGAAATAGTCAACTGTATGTATAATAAGTATTGATTCATATATTGCCTTATTAGAGGCTCGTCTATTCTAACACACGCAGAATCTCATTTACTAATATCTTCGCCACCTTTCTGATTAGATATGAGATATAGCTTTCTCATCACGAACATATTCCTTTATTCTTCTCTGCTAGCACCCATATTTTATCATTTGTGGATCTATGCTGGAAGTGGGAATGCGAACTTTTTCTATGCAATCACGCTTGTATATAGCGTCGGGAACATTATTTTATTGGTAGATGCAAGCTACGCAATGTTGAGAAGAGAGTTCGATATACAGCATCCGGAATTGAAAGGACGTGAAGTTACGCAAAAGTAGGGGGGGATAAAGATATCAACCACAACGTCCGTAGAAAGAAAAAGTAGGAAATTAAAAGAATTATATTTAAAAGAAATAACACCGAAAATATGTATAAAGTCTATGACATTTCAAAGTACTTTGCTAAGAATTTCATAATTAAATGAGGTTGCCTCTGGCCCACTTAGGTACTTGCTAGGTGAGGTTCCGTCAATGATATACCTGTTTTCATTGGATGATGTTAGAAAGGCTGATAGTTTATAGCGTCATTACATTTGGCCAAATATACTTGCCCAAGACGGTTGCAATAAAAGTTAATTGCTCTTTCGTTAGCTAGAGTTGATGAAATTAAAAAATTTTGCTCCTTTCAAGACAGAAAAGAATTGCGCAGTACCAAGAATATCAAACCTTTCCACGCGGTCAGCACGCTCTTTTTCATCCCCCAGTATCTTCCCAGGTCTTCTAATACATTCATCAGAAACGTCCCAAGCCCTTTTCCTCTTACTTCATCGATCATCTGAATTTCAAGACTGTACGTATATCCTTGTCAATTAATTTCGCAGGATCCAGCAAGTCATCATCAGAAACAAAAAAATATACCAATAAATAACTTCTATCTCAGCATCGTCGTCTTCATCGTCGTCTAACCATAAGAACTGAAACAGTAAAAACCCAATCGGAATGTCATTGTCATTGAACGCAATAATGTATCTTGTATGTCGTTCTCGCATCTCCTTGCGTTTCTCTTTTGGATTGTATGATGAATCGTGACTATGAATAAAGTTCAGTGATCAGTTTATAAAGAGGGACGGGTTGACTGTTCGTTCTTGCAAAAAGATTGATGCTTACTACGGTGCCATGTTCGATTCGACCAAGTTAAAGCACCAATAGAACAGATCTGTTGAAAGTGTTTTGATTGTATATGACCGTAATTTACATGCAAACCTGTATCCCAAAAAAACCAATAAACTGTGAAAATTGCAAATATAGATAAAGGGTACGAAAGATGCAATGTACGTACGAATCGCTTGTATATTCTGTTGGTGTTTTAAGAAAATTGATGTGATCCGTCGCCTAATAATTTAGTTGAGTTTTACCCGGCATATTCACTCGTTTAATGATTTGTATTTTTTACCTTGTTTGCAATCTCCACAAGGGTTCTCTTCTTTAAAGTTGTTGTATTTTTTGTCTTTTTCGTATTTCCTGTCTTTTTTGTATTTTTCGCTTTATTGCTCTTCCTTTTTACCATAATGACAAAATGTATAAACACGTCAAAATGTGCAGTGCGTCCTCCAAAAGTCACGGAGTAACACAAAATTTACGAATCATACCATGAAATCGCGCATATACAGTATAATGTAAAATCTTAGTGGCATAAGATTTAGCGAACGTCAAATAGACGTCGCAATAAGGCATATTTGATCATTGTAGACTGTCTATTAAAACTGATAGATACTCTGTGTTATTCAAAAATGGTCTACGCTATCAGTTCCGAACCGTACTTATAGAGTACAAGATACTTAACAAAACCAGAAGAATAGGACATATCTCTTAAGAGAAATTGACCTATAAAAATGAAAAATTAAATCATTTTTATTCTGTAAAATATTGACGATTTACGAAATGTCATATAGGTGCACACGTGGTTTGCGATATAGTGCATTAGTATATAGCAAATATTTATCTAAGCACTAACTTAGTTTTATATTTAGTTGGGTCAAGTACATAAAAAGCGATAAACAAGGTAACAGTAAAATTTTTCCTGCATTTTTAAGACCATTTCCGCTGTGTTATTTTTACTTGATTTATTAATACTAAGTAAATACATAAATGCGAACAAATAATAATACATTTTCTGTAATTTGTGTATAGTAATAGATGACTTTTCCAATTTGAACCTATTCATGTCATGTAAAATAAAAATAAAAACTTGCCTTTTATATTTGTTTATTATATGCATTTATTAGTTTTACTATTATCACTTCCAACTACTGCAACAAAACCAGACAAAGTGAACATTCTGTTTCGTGGCATAAACGTAGGGCTAATGTAACTAAAAAATCGATGTGTATTAGTATGTGACATTTGGAAACGGTTTGCTTTAATGGCACAGCTGTGACTCAGACATAATTATAAACGCTTGGGGAAAATATGACTGAATTTACTAATTTTGATTGAAACTGGCATAGTCATTTACTAACAATTTATAACACGTTTCATATAGTAATAGGCTTATCTCTATTACTATATGAAAATAAACTAATTTACATCAAATCCACTATGGAACCAAAAAAGTATAGCACTATAGAAGCATTCTAAAAAAGCTCGAGAAAAATTGCTCCGTTGTGTTTTAAAATCAATAATCTCCAGGAGTATCTATGGAATATTATCCCACTCCTCGACCATAAACCACCCCAAATTATCAAGAATTTTTGGTTGCGTTTTTCTACATTTCTTTTAACAATACTCCATAGGCTTTCTATGTAGTTGAGGTCTGGGCTATTGAACGGCCAGTCAATGATAAGAACTTGTCATTTTGTAAGTTTGAAGATGAGTTAAAGGTTAGAATCGGTGAAGGTTAGAGTCAGCGAAATGCAAAATGACCTTGGGCATGTTTTCTGTGCTTAGGTGAATTTCTTTGGGAGATTGTACTCCCTTGTTCCAGAAATTAGAAATGTAAGATGACTTCAGCATGAGGTTTTTTATTTTGTGAAGGCATTTTAAGAATGATTTATGGAGACATTTAATAGCAAAACAATTCAAGGCGAAAGATGATAAACAGTGTGCTAGGAGGTAATATTATAATAAATTTTTTGTTTACGCGACATCTGTTAAATTTGGCAAGCTACGCGAGATTTTTTTACGCGTATATAGAGGGCAAGTTTTTTCTTCCCATACTGTATATTCCCTACTAGCAAACCACAATCCAAACGATTCATTATCAGATTGTTTGATCGCGTATTTTTAATATTACTGTTGCGACCCATCTGAGAACGGGTCAACCCATTTCAAGATTGTCACAAATTTTTTCGACGTTATCACATAAATTGTGCACTTTTATTGGTGCAGAGATTATTCTAATGTGACAATCCTGAAACGGGTCACACGACTCGCCTTATATTTAACTTGGAAAAATCAAATTATAAAGTCATTCCAGCATCGGTATCGAAACAATCTATCCTATAAAAAACTGCAAACAACAAACTACTCAAAATGCTTGCTTTCATTATTCAATTCTTCTGCAGGTCGCTGATCAGACTTATCTTTGATCACTCGCTCTACTATGAAACATGTAATTAACTTAATAATGTGAACGAAAAGCTTGAGATAACGGTTCAAGCTATTAAATCAAAAATGATCAAAGTAAAATCTAAAGTAAACGTTTACTGATCGTTCAACATTGAAGGTTGTGGAAAGAGTTTAAACCCTCATTCGATACGAAATCTAAGCTGGAATCTGATTTCTCATTTAACGAGTGGTCACTCAAATCCGCGACGTACGCGAGGAAAACGAACGTTGCCTGTACATCAAAGAACTTCTACCGAAGAAAAACCATCCGTAGAAAATGATTGTCAAAATCGTAAGGAATGGGCGGATAAAGAAAAAGAGAAGGGAAATGAAGACGATAATAGCATTGATTATAATGTATAGCATGAATTTTTACTAGAACGGCCAAAGATATAGAGGGTATTCATTATTCATTTCAACAACATATCACCTGACCTCCTTGATACCTTCAATCAATTCACCTTTCCAAACGGCAGCATCTCCCCGTACAAAACTCATTTCCCCATGCCTGGCCACTACGCCTATCAAATCTCTGTCACTGATAACCTTCATACACACACCATCATATCTGTCTCTCCACCCGTTCTTTCCTCTCCCTCTTCCTCCCAATCCGCGACCACCAAGTTGTCCTCGTTTGAATCCAGAGACCAATCGATAATATTCTTTGGCAAATTTGGCTTCAGATGGTGAGCAATTGTGTTCAAGTTCTCTGATGCATTCTGCTAGCACGGCTCGTTTTATGGAAACAAGGCGAATATTATGATATATAGAAAGAGCGCGAGCAGTGCGCGAGCAAACGAGAGGATTGAGAAAAGTTTGTTCGAGAGTTGAAGTGTCTGATGGTATTATGGATGTGGACATTGGAAAATCGAGATCATTAGTAGTATCACTAGCAGAAGCAGTACCATTGCTGACGTTTGTGATAGTGGAAAGAGAGGACGTAAGAACTTTCACAGTCTCGCGGTTATATGGACTAAATAAACTCGACTCTTGCTGTCTCTTTGCGTCACGAACCAAAGCTATTGCGTCTTTTAATGACATTTTTTTTTCTCTTGGCAGTATGCAAAACTTTAACAGATGTTGTCTACATGGTGCGAGAATGTACCAAGAATTAGACGTGATCCGTGTTTTATCACGTGATTCATATATAGACACGTATCTCGCAATTGACAAAAGTGGTTTATATACTGCATTTTAAAAAAGTTATGGTCAAAAGGAAGCTACTATTGTAAATATCATTCGTCCTTCAATAGTGCCGGAGAGCTATCCCAAAGCATATGGGATAAGACTTGGTATACCAAATATGATTTGGTAACATTCGGGTTTTATTTAATGAATTGAATGAGAATTAATGCATAATTCTACAAACGATACTGGGTATTCATTATTATTATTGGGAGTAATGGTGCCATAACCGAATCCGACTTGAATGGTATGTTTTCAGAATTACAGTATCTACATGCGTCATCAAAAGGGGCTTGTTTTGCTAATGAATTGTACGACTTGCACTAACTCCATCGCGATTATTGGTATGGCCACTCGGCGAATGACACACGGTGCAGATGCGACTGACATCATTGCATCATCACAAACTATGACCCAGCACTGGATACATCGTAGAAAATGTTAAGTCGATTTTATAGACACGTAGCAATTGGTCGTGAATCTATTGCTGGTAGAAAACTCTCCGTTTGGAATGTTCGGCGTTGTAGGGTAAATTAATAAGCGACTCTATTAGCAAGTGGCGGAGAGAAGAGTGAGAGTATCGTTTTTTTTCAAAGGACCCGACATTTAAGATTATATTTTTTTATTCGTTTTGGATAGTCATCGATTTTGCAGTTCTCTACAATCATCACTCAAAACCATGATTTCCAGTATACCCCTGAAGTGCTTGATGCATTGTCAACGAATAGGCCAGTAGTGGCACTCGAGTCCACCATAATTACACATGGTTCGCTATGTTTGATACAATCAACGGGGGATAATCGTATCAATGCTCCTCGTATTGACAGAAAGGATTTCTGGAATTCATCAATTTCATTAAACTTTAGGAATGCCGTATCCACAGAATCTCGCAACCGCACTTGAAGTCGAGAAAATAGTACGTGAGCATGGAAGCATACCGGCGACGATTGCTATTATAGATGGAACCATACATATCGGTATTTATAGAATCAAGCGATTTTCAGAGAAAACATACATACAAGAGATAATAACTTGACAACTTTATTTAGGTTTATCTCAGAACGCATTAGAAAGGCTGTCAATGATGGGACGAAAGGCCAGAAAAACTTCTCGCCGGGATCTTGCTTTAGTAACTTCACAAGTAAATGACACATTATGCTCGCATGTGTGTGAGTGTGTGTGATGATTCTGGCCGGACTGAATTCGATTGGTATATCATTTATCTTAGAATCTAACTGGTGCCACTACTGTGGCTGCAACTATGGTTATTGCGCATCGTGCTGGTATTAAAGTGTTTGTGACAGGAGGTATGTAGCTACATACAGAATCTATTCATAAAAGGTTTGGAGGTTTTTTTTTTTGCTTCGCTAATTTCCAAATTTAAAGG